TTAGTAAAGCTTATCCCTGTGTACCTACCAACAATATCTTATCAGTTTGTCGTCGGCACAAAAATTAATAATAATCTTATCTACCGAATAATTAGATGAAGTATTCTAAAAAAATACAAATATTCGTGAAATTTCGTCTATAACTTTGTTCCAAAGCATAGGATCAAAGTCAAGCTCATCTCTGTAAACCTGCCAACAATATCTTATTAGTTTGCCGACAGAAAAAAAATCAATAATAATTTCATTACATAAATAGTTAGACGAAATTTTGACAAAACTTTTTCGAAACAGTTTTTAAAAAAATTGCGTCTAATTACTTATTCAATAAGATTACTCATCTTGCTACAGACAGAAAACTCATGAAATATTATTGGTTAACACACAGAGATAAGCTGTATAATTTTTCGAAACTTTGGCTAATTATTTATTTAATAAGGTTATTATTGATTTTTTTGCTGACGGCAAATTGACAAGATATTGTTAGAAGGAACACAAAGATAAGCTGTTTGAGTTTTACTACCAATCCTATGCTTTGGAACAGTTATAAACGAAATTTCACGAAATTTGGATTTTTTCGAGAATTTCGTCTAATTATTTATGTAACATGATTATTATAAATTTTTCTGCTGACAGCCCACTGATTAAATATTGTTGGTAGGTACACAGAGATAAGCTGTGTAAGTTTTTACATTAATCCTATGCTTTGGAACAAAGTTATAAGCGGAATTTTACGAAAATTTGGATTTTTCGAAAATTTCGTCTAATTATTCATTTAATAAGATTATTATTGATTTTTTTGCTGACGGCACATTTAAAAGATATTGTTTAAGAGACACAAAGATAAGGTGTGTAAGTTTTGAAATCAATCATATGCTTTGAAACAAAGTTATAGACGAAATTTTACGAAAATTTGTACTTTTTCGAGAATTTCACACAATTATTTATTTAATAAGATTATTATTGATTTTTCTGCCATCAAGAAACTAATAAAATATTGTTTGTTGGTACACAGAGATAAGCTGTGTGAGTTTTAACGTTATTCTTATGCCTTTTACATCAATTGCAGCCCCTGATCGACGTAAGTAGCATAAAAACGTCCTTTTTCGACTTTTTTCTTACATTCAGAACACATAACTAATCTAGGATATGTTTCCAAAAACTAAAAATGACTGCTTGTATGTAGTATCATACAAAAATACTAGAAAACAATAGCAGGAACATGTACGACCTCCCAATAGCTTATGATTACCGAAAATAGCAAAAAAAATAGGCTAATATCTCGAATTTCTAGACATTTTGCGGGGTGAGGGTAGGTTTTCTAATTCTGAAAAAAATCAGGAGAATCAGTTTTAGTGCCTTTAAAGTACGTAATTCATGTTTTATATCGATTGCAGTCCCAAGTGGGGAAAAGTAAGTAAAAAACGTCTTTTTTTGCCTTTCTTTCTATGATTGAGAGTACATAACCAATCAAGGTTATAATTACAAAAGCTAAAAATGACTTTGTGTATGTAGTTATACGAAGACATTAGAAAAAGTTATAAGTAACATGTGCGACCTCCTAATGACTTATTATTACTGAAAATGGCGTAAAATAGGATATTTTCTCAAATTTCTTGACATTTTTCGAGGCGAGGTTAGGTTTCCTAATTCTAGAAAAAATCAGGGAAATTAGTTTTACTGCCTTTTAATAATATCTATATGTTTTACATCAATTGCAGCCCCGTATGGATGAAGGTAGCATATAACGATTTAATTTCGACTTTTTTCTAACATTGAGAGCACATAACCAAGCGAGACTATTTTTTGAGAGCTAAAAAAGACTGTATATATTAAGTATGATACAAAGACACTAGAAAAAGTTATTTGGACTGTGTACGGGCCTCGAATGGCGGATTGTTACCGAAAATGGCAGAAAATAGGATATTTTCTCGAATTTCTTGATATTTTGAAGGGTGAGGTTCGGTTTCCTAATTCTAAATAAAATGAGGTAAATATGTTTTAGTACGTTTTAAGAATATCTATCCGTTTTACATCAATTGCAGCCCTTAATCGATGTAGGTAGCATAAAAACGTATTTTTTTCGACTTTTTTTTAACATTGAGAGCACATAACTAACCGAGGTTATGTTTCTGAGAGCTTAAAATGACTGTATGGATTAAGTATCATACAAAGGCACTAGGAAAAAATATTTGGACTGTGTACGGGCCCCTAATGGCTGATTATTACCGAAAATGGCAGATAATGGTCAAACATTCAGAAATTAAACACATTTATGTGTAAACAGTTAAACAAAGGACTGAGAAGTTATGCGAGACAAAGAATAGAGAAGACAAATAGCAGTAAGACTGAAGTCCAGGAGCAGCTTAGACGTGCATCAAAGTAAACACAATTGCAACAAGGAAAGAGAAAAGCAGAACAGGATAAAGAAAAAAAATCAAAAGAAAGAAAGCAATAGAAAATAAGAGACTCAGCAGGAAGTGGCTAAAAGAGATTTGAAAGAAAGTAATCTACATGAAAGGCTTATGGGACAAAGCACTCTACTGTTTTAAAAAATTTTAAAAGAAAAGTTGAGAGTACAGATGTGAAAATAAAAAAACTGACAGAAACGATGGAGAAGATAAAAAATTGATGTAGCGGCATAGTGGCAGAGAGGAAGAGGTTCAATGAAGACAAAGAGATAGTAGAAAATTAAATTAAATAGCTAGAAAAAAAAATTGGAGGATTAAAGACTGAAACTGAAGAGATGTTTGTAGCCTGTACTGAACGCACTAAGTAGTGAAATGGAAAGTCAAGGAAGGGAAACAAAGAAATGCAAGAAGCGTGGTAGCACAAGTAAAGAGCAGCAAGCAAGAATTTGATTTAGTTTAAAGTTTTTAGTGACAACACAAGTGTTTAGAAAAACATAATTCTGTGATTTAAAAGTGGAAGTATAAATAACTGCTAGAATTATGATTTGACTACTATCTATACAATTAATTAAAATTATAATTTAGTAGAATCAAAGATTATATGGAATCATGTTTTAAAAATTTATTTCATCTTTTTTATTTTTTTTATTTTATAGTTTTTTAGATCACTTTTCAATACGACATTAAGTGTCAAAGATCTTAAAAATATAGAAAATGTGACATTTAAGAACTACAAACAATGAACAATAGAAGAATTGATGTTAAAATAGTTTCTAGCATTTAAGTACTGAACTTTTTTTGGTTTATGAGTTATTTTAATTGTTAAATCAGACCAAATCATTGTTGAATTTGTATTTGTGTATTGAATAATATAAACGGAACTAATTTCTTGATGTACGACAAAATTCAAGAGTAGCCTAAGTAATTAAGCAAAAGTTTCATAAATAATAAGAAGCAAAATTTCGAAATTTTTCCTTCCTTACGCTTCGTATTTATGAAAGTAAAATTAGTAATGTAGATTTGTTAATTTTTAATAATGGAAGGGCAGGCGAGTTCATTAAATATTTAAGTCACACACAGAAAGACATAGTAATGCTTACACATTTTAGAATTATTTACATGTTTTTTTATAGGCATATTTATAGTTAATAATTGTGTGGAATCGTAGGAGTCAAAAAAAATATCATAGAGTAACCATGAGAGCGTATAGCTTGTCTTAATATTAAATGAAAATCTAGTAATTTTTGGGATATAAAAATTTTTTCTTTTAGGAACTTCTTCAGTTACTAACAACTTTAGACTCGGATAACGTTTTTAAGATTAGTTGAGTTGAATTAAAGCTATTTTCAAGCACTTTAGATTGTATGATAATAGAATAATATATCACACACGTTAAACAATCAGACCCACGTGCAGATTTTCCAAAGAATTCGACGTATGTGTATATATCAAACTATTTCTGTAATTATCTACGAGTAAAACCGTCAGTTTTATACAAAAGATCACGGAGTACTAAAGACAGTGTAACAATAACTAATGCAGATAAATATATGTACTGATTCATGAATAATTTTAATTGTAAAGGACATGTACAATTTTATTATTTGAGAGTACACTTCTACTAAGGAGAACATGACTACTCCATCTGATTACTACATATTCTTAACTAATAATGAATTCAGCGAGCAGTGACCTTTTAAATTAAAAACGTCGATTTGTCCTGTTAAATGAAACAGTCTACTGTACTTTTGTAAGCGTTATGGTTTATGGATAATTGTCAAAAAATAACGTCAAACTCGGCTTAGGTTGTATTTTATAGTTTTCATTGGGCTTCGAAAGTGTTTCTTGTCATAAAAAAAGTAATGATTTCACGATGTTAAAAGTTGTGTTTTTAAATAACAGAAAGAAATTTAAAATTTTTCAAAACATTTATTTTTACTATATTATTGTAACTTAAGACCACCGGAATGTAAATGATTTCAAATTCAAAATCAAAAAAATTTCAAGACAATTTCTGATATAATATTGCACTACTAACTGTTTTTTTTGTTTTCTATTAAAAACTCATAAAATCATACGTTGTCATGGAGGTTATGCACTTATAGTTTGTTTGATATTATTTAAGCTTTGTTCACGCAGATTTTTTTGCTTTTTGCAGATAAAGAAATTTTTCCGTTCAATATAAAAGTCTGAAAAATTCTAATGCTATGAGAGTTCAACTAACGGTTACGAAGAAAAAGTTTTTGTTTTAAAAAATTTTGTGATTTTTTAAGGTCAAAGCGTAACTTTGCATTAATTCTAAAGTTGTAATAAACAAATGTAATGTTTATCCAATTCAAATCAAACAAACAAAAAAACATGGACTAAGATAGTTTTATAATTTTTAATGTTGATTCATATCTACAAAATGGGAATACTAGTTCTTTATATCATTTAAACTCATTGGAAAATATTACTTTAGTAGACAGAACTATCTACTTTACTTGATACGTATGCCTTGCATAAGCTACGATTAAAATATACAAGAATCAAATTTATATAAATACGATTACTATAAAAAATAGTTTAAAAAAATTGTCCGTAAATACTCACATCAACAGTGGTTATGATTTCTTGAGTACCGGTAAGGACTTTCTCTTCTGGTTTGAGCGGTTTTATGTCCTGACTACTAGTAGATGGACCAGTTGGCGTAATTAAGTCCCGCTGTGCTGCATTCAAGGCCAAATATTCATAGGAACCTTTAGAACTGCCTGCAGTTGTACATAACGCTTCTTTATCACAGGAAATTCCTGAAAAAAAGTCGTATTAAGGTCTTTTTAAAATTTATGCGTTAGCTTCAACCAGTTTAAAAATATACTTCTTGATAAACAGAAAGACGCATGAGGAATAGTTTTTTTTTCGATATTAGGACATTCATCACACATAGCGTTTTCTGTAAGATCTTGCTAAAATTTCAAGAGGATGCTCGTAATGATGTGAGAAAGTCACATGTAATATTTGAGATCGTTTTACAACATCGTTTTTTGAAAATTGAATGTTGAATGTAAAAAAAAAACTCAATTTAACACGTAACCGTATGGAGGAGTCAAAATGGAATTTTTAAGAAAGTGGTATCTAGAATTTTTCCAACTTCTTTTTTGCATGACGCAATCAATACGATACTACTGGTATTATTCTCAATTTTCAGAGAGATCGACAAGTTACTTTTGCAATTAATTAAAAAAAAAACAGTGTCAGACGCCTACACTTAGATATGCAAATGCATTTAAAACAGTTGCAGGCGCTCCCACATGCTCTCTCCCCCCTCACTGCACTTTTTACATTTCCCCTTTAACTGTGATGAATGTCCTTAATTATTAAAATATTGTACTGAAGCAATGAAACTTGAGGGTACAATTTTATATTGCGTAAGGGATTAAATGAGTGAACAAGAGATTGTTTGGATAAAAACGATCTACTTAATTTTTAAAATAGTTACATTTCAGACAACGTAAAAATGTTCACTTTTAAATTACCATGATCAAGAGTGTACGTACGTACCTCATTTATTTTTACTAAAAGAAAACTACAAATTTTTTTAACCAACAACTAGAACGTGAACAACAATAACTAAATAAGTTTTCCGCCGTATATTTGTTATAATATCAAGCTCAAAATAAATATATGTATTATATTCCAGGTATTTGTATTGCAATGTACTAGCGTATTATAATCCCTGTATCCAGAATCTTGTGACTTTTTTTCCTATTTTTCATTTTTCTCCAAGGACGCAAGTATTTCGTGCGGGCTCTTAGTGCAAAGTTCCCATCATAGAACTCGGTCAAATAGCTTTGATGGCTTAGTGCTTCGCGTGCTAGCCTCCAAGCTAGAGAAACTTTAAAGTCGTGGGTTCGAACACCTGGACTATTTCGATAAGATAAGTACTTAGGATAACTTAAAACGACTGATCCGATTTTGAAAATGAACATGAGATTTTTCTGGTGGTGTCTGAGCCTCCAGGGCCTTTCTTTTCGAAGAAATGCCAACACTTAGCTAGCTCATTGGGTAAGTCACTATCGGTCTTGAAAACGTAGATGTAGCGAGTTAGGTAATTCATCGGAAAAGATCCTTGCATTAAACTTGATAATACCTAGGATGTGCTTGAGCCAATCGCTGCACCCTATAATTAGTATCCAGTAAGATGGTGATTACGAAGAAAAGAAAAAGAGGGGAGAAATCAGGAATTACAAACATCATAAAACTGTTATTAGATGTAAGGGTAAAATTAAACAAAAATTTTGATGCTTAACATTTAAAAATTAAGGTCTAATAAGGCTGATTACTAATTACTCATATTTAATTATGATTTCATTGTTATTTTGTTAGAAAACAATTAATTTTTGTTGCATAATGTAAGACATGTTTAATTAATAATACTTCATTTTTTAAACAAAAATTAGTTGTTTCAATTCGATTTTATTACATAATTTTAAATAAGATAAAGTATTAAATTTTTGATCTTATAGCCCTATAAGATCAAAAAATTAATACTTTATCTTACATATAAACGGGGCAAAAAGTTGAACTACTGTAAATAATTTTAAATATGCGGGATCCCGCAGAATCCCGCGCGGGATCCATCAATTCCGCATATTAATCTCGCGGGATTGAGTGAGCTGCAGGATTGCAATCCCTGCAAGTGTATTGTAAAATAAAAATGTGAATGTTAGAAATGTCGATTTGGTATTTTGTACGAAGAGTACTAATATGTAAAAAGACCACAGATTGAAGAGCAAAATATATCCTTTTACTCGGCTTTTAAACTACAACTTAACATAATTATAGGGTTGTCACAAAATTCCTTTAAAATCTAGGACTAGTATTGGAATAGCCAAGTTATAGGACCATAATGAAAATTACTCTTCTTTGCTACTTAATTATTGGCTATTATCAAGGCAAAGGACGGATTTTTTTTTATCATAGCTGTAGTCGAGCAACATAGTTCTGGTAATTGAAAACATAAGCGTAATCACCGCTATATCTCCAGATCTGTTAATTTTAAAGATTGAGGATCTATTTTTTAAAATTATTTTCTGTCCTAGAGATTTATTATAAAATATTTATGATAATGTGTACGTTAAAATTATAAAATACTTATAAAATTACGTAAGTTCTGTGTTAAAATCACATACTAAAATGTTTTTTCCTAAAAATATAGCGTTGTTTTCTGAACTTCAAATTTTTACACGAATGAATTTTCAATAACATTGAACAAAAATAATATCTCTTACTAACTGAATTTATATTGTATCACAATACTTAAACAAACTGTCATGTTTATGGACATACATTTAAAAAGCAATCATTGTAATAAAATGCACATTGCTAAGCGACCAAGAGGCTACAGAGATTTAACTTTTAACAAGAAACAAAAATCCTAACATAAAACTTGCGAAACACAATTTTTCTTTAGTCAATATATATTAATATGTATTATCAACATATATTTTCAATGGAATTATTGAACTTAAATCTTCCAGTTCATGTATGTCATTTATGTCTTTTTAAACAAAGGTTCGTTATCTTAATTTTTGATTGAAAATAGGTGCTCAGACATACTCCGACAACAATATTCCAGTTCTGGCGGATATTGAAAACTTAAAACGGGAAACTTTTTGGATCTGTAAGTTTGCTTACGCTACTAAGACTGAGTGTAGCTTTTGCAATTTAGTTTTATTATTTATAAGTAAAATAATACAAAAATAATGTACAATACAGAAAGTCATTTTTTAATTAAATTATCATTAATAATAAAAAAGAAATTATTTTATTAATAAGCAGATATTTAAGCAGATATTTTTTTTAATCTTTAAGTTTACGAAAACTTCTAAACTCCATTAAATAGTGCTTTCCGAGATTACGCAATGAGTGAAAGCTATCAGTAATCCTTTGAGAGCATTATTACATACAAATTTGTAAGTTAGAAAGTTATAAGCCCTCTCATTATTGTGAATTCATTGTTTTTCATATTGCTTTATTCATTTTTTGAAAATTTAATCAACTTTATATAGTGAACTTAATACTCATTAAATATTTGATTTAAAAAAATATGAGTGATATAGTGCCATAAGGGTTTTCGTACTTAGAGAGGTTGCTTTAAATTTAACATGCGCTCGATACGGGGCGACAGAAAAACCATAAAATCAAATCAAGCATACTTATTAGATGATTGAAAACCCTTTCAAGAAAGTAGCGGAACTCCAAAAATTAAAAAAATTACCCAGCAATCGATTCTATACTTTAACCTAAACCCCGCCCACTTCTTGCAATTTAAATATGAATTCTTGTCCAATGCAAGTATAAGCGGCAATGGTCTAGTGGACTGTCTTTTGCTCCTGCCAGGCTACCTAGCCAGGTTATCGATTTTCGCCATTATCAAGTTTTTTTTTATATATATCTTTGTTAAATATAACTGCAATTAAACACTATTTACCTATTAACCAATGCTTACAAACAATTTTTTTTTTACACATACCACATAAAATATACATTACATTGTAATTTGGTTTTGTAAATGTTATTCATTTAAGTCGAAACACAATTTTTACAATTACTTTGATATTATAAATTGTTTTTAAGAAAGTAACTGATAAAAGTCCGCATGAAAATTTTTAAATTACAATTTATAAAAAGGTAAGTTAATTAGATTATATTTGTACAAACGTACGCCTTCTCTGCAGTTTTTTCGGGCTTGAGACCAGTTCATTGCATGTGCTCACATTATGCAAGCATTTTTTTGTTTGAGTTTATGTTAAATAATAAAAAAAAAATTCGATGGATTTATTAAAAACAGCTTTGTAATGGGCTCGTATTTTTTCGGTTTTCCCAGACCAATAGAAAAGAAGTGTTGCTACATGTATGCCGTATTTGACCGTTGTGCTTCTTCATTGACGTGGAGATACTTCGATTCTAAGTGTAGATCTATTATATATTGATAGTAGCAATTTTTATTGTTGCAGTGTACATCTGTACTCCAAAGAAATTTAAACATGTAAACATTTATTGATGCCATGACAATGGTTTTGTAGGTGCACTTTAATAATTAACATTACCCAAAACACTTATAGCACTCTTAACATTATAATAAAAATTAAGTTGAATTTCGAAGGAAGAGAAAAATTTATTACGAAAAGAAAGAGAGATGTTCGTAAGTTAGAAAATATGTTTTTTTTCACTAATCTCACCAACATACATAGCAAAGTCCTAAAAAATGTTGTATTCACTAACCGCGAAAATAATATATCATGAAGTTTGGTTATAATATCCCCGAGCAAAATGTCAATTATCGTAGTCGTTCACGGACAGTACATCAAGAACAGAGTGGTAAGCTGTGTAGCTGATTATCCCGAATTCTCGGTTACAGATAACACTCATTTTCAATAGAAAATCAAGTTAAGTCGAATTACACTCTGAACCGCCAAGATAATGGACTACCACGATAAAATAGGCATTCTTAACGCCAACGTCTCCAGCGTAATACCAGGAGACGTACAGCTCAGGGCACAACCTGCTCCATTACTTCGGAATTTTGTAGCCGTTCTTATAACCAACTTAGTGCTGCCAGAACAACTTTTACTACAACAGCAAGCCAGGGTAATCAACCCACCCCAGAACAAAGTGCCGAAGTATACACAATTCTCAGTTTGTGACTAGTTACATTTTTCTCAGCTACCAAGCAGTTTCTGCTTGGCTTCCAGGCTACAGCCTGTCAGTAGCTGCTTGGATCGACAAGCTACAGGAGCCATGCAGC